GATAGGAACTCTCAGTCTGGGGCAAGTGATGCACTGTATTCTTGGTGCTTGGGGGGGGGCAACAGTGGGAGGGCTTCTAGTGTCCTGGCCCCACTGCTGGACCTCCTGATGGCACCTGGTATTTTTGGCCACTGTGTGACCCAGAGTGTTGGACTGGATGGGCCATTGGCCTGATCCAACATTGGCTTCTCTTATGTTCTTATATAACAAGAGTATCTTTTATTGGTACACATATACATATATGTACAAATATAAAATTACAAAATTAAACATCCGTTTTGGATCAGGGTCAAATGGGGAGCAGGTGAAACCTTTGCCCGAGGGCGCATGGTGGCTCCCTTGTCAAGAGAAACCTGGACCTGAATTCTATTGGGTTCAAGACAAGAAAAGGTCAGGACTTCCCAAATACAGGCTTATCGCATTAGCCCTCAGCATCATTGTAGAGAACAGTCCAGAGCTGGCAACCCAATAACAGCAACAGGCATAAACATGCAGACCCTGCAAGGAAGCAGGGAACCATGACACTACTGAACAGAAGCCAGAAGGCCCATACAGTCATGCCCACCTTCCTGCCTAGGGTTGCCAGGTCACAGGCAGCAACTCCCAGGAGCCTTTTGGGGGGCGGGAATTGCCACAGAGGCGTCATGCTGACACGTTGACATCACTTCCAGCAAACAGGAATCGATGTTACCATAGTTTTTGCAAATCCTAAACATCCAATGACATCTCTTCTGGGTTTTGCTGGGAATAACATCAGGGTGGCTCGTGTGATGCTGGCGTGCATCCCCATTCTCTCCCCTTTTCCTCCTGCCAGTGCTTCAGGCATCAGCAGGCAACAACTAGATTAGTAACCCTTAGGTTAGCTCTGTGGATGCAAAACAAGCCAAGGTTTTGAGCGTTATGTGCATACAGTAGTACTATCTGATGTTTTAGGATAGGATAGACCTATAGCGCACTTTTCCAGGTAGTCTCTGCAGACATTCAATTGGCTTCAACTTCAAACAGGTTTTTCTGCTAACTAGTTGCAGTCCTTAACAATTCAAGTTGATTTTTTTAAAAAATCTGTATGATAAACACATTTAGAGTTCTATTTTTCACATAATGTAAAATACAGTTCTATATTTTTTCAATAGCTTACATGAGATCAGTGTCCTTTTCTGTCTTTGTACTTTATATACAATAATAAAGTGTTCTCACAGCATTAATGCTCTTCTCACATTTTTATCTTTTGAGGCATTGGATATGAAGCTGGGAATTCCTTTGACTTAAAAGAAATAGGCAAAGGTCTTCCTTCTTAACTGAAAACATAATTTCCCACATAATGTACTGTTCCAGGAAAAAAATATGAGCTTTTTATTGTACTTTATATTCTAATTTTAATAAAATATGCTGTATAAACACAAGATCTCATTGTGGCTTATATTCCACTTTCATCAGTGGCTTCTGTTTATTTTCTCTCAGTTCCCAAGAACTGCACTGCAAGGGGTGCTTGAGGCCATTTTTGCCTCAGAGAGGCCTAGGAATGCCTTTTAGAACATCATCTCTTACTTTAAATGCAGAAGCTACTTTCAGCCCAGAGCACCTCTATTAATAATTCTCCTCTTTATCTCCCCTGTGTTTCTGGGGACTGCTTCAGCTCTCAGTTCTTGGCATATCCTATGCCAGTATTCTGTTTCAAAAGACTACTGCCATACGTATCATGGCGGTTTCTTCTTACTTTTCATTCTGTCAGAAACTAGCATCATTTCACACAGCCCAGGCAGGGAAGAAAAGGCTCTACCCCACTATAAATCATTTTTCCCTCCCAACAGAATTAATTTTTCCTGCCCATTATCCCTGTACTACAAAAGGCAGAAGCTAAGACAACCACTGGGCAAAATTTGAACTTAGGACTTCCTAACTGATAGCATTAAACAACCCTCCCGCTTCTGAAGGAAGTTCAGTTGCCATCCCTACTATTCATCCCCCACACACACACACCGGCAATCTCTAGCTGCAACTCTTGTTAATGGCACAATACTTTTAAAATAAGCATCAAGGGTATGTTAACATAGTTTATACAAACTGAGTATTCGCCTTCAGACTCATGGCATTGCTATTTTTACACTTGGGCTATATTCTAATAGTGAAGCCAGGAAATCTTGAATACTTAAATCTGGTGACTGAATAGGGCTGCCAAATCCCCCCGGGGGGCGGAAATCCCCCCACCCCAGAGGCCCGTTCCCAGACGCCGGGGAATTGGGCCCCGGGGGGAACCCCGCCCCAGCATGCACATCACAGGGAAGTGACATTATGACGCCGGGCACGCTGGGGGCGGGGCCACGGCCATACAAGGGAAAACGCTCTGGTAACATTTGGCAACCCTATGACTGAAGCTGTGAACATGCAAGACAGATCTTTCTATAAACCTGAAAAGGGCCCCAGGTTTGTAGAAAAATGTGAAATCTAAAAAAAAATAACATTGGGGACATTTTAAAAATGTGAAAATGATAAAAGGAGTGCCTGTGGCTTTAAGCAAGGGATTCCATCAGTGACTGTTGCTAGGCAACAACAGAATTCCAGGCTTGGTTTCAGTGAGTAAAAAAGGCAGGAGGAGGATGCAGGGCCTTTCCAGGAGTATTTTACCTTTGAGGGAGGACTTCTAGAGGCAAGGCATGACTAGCATTGCCAGCTCCAGACTGAGAAATTCCTGGAGATTTTATGGTGGCGTCTGAGGAGGGCAAGGTTTGGGGAAGAGAGAGGCCCCAGCTGGATATAATGCCACAGTCCACCCATGTACTCCAGAGGGACAGGTCTCTGTTGTTTGGAGTTCAGTTGTAATTCTAGGAGATCTTCAGGTCACACTTGGAGGCTGGCAACCCTAGGTTTGGCAGCAGTCTCTGAGTGACTTGATACCACTCGACTTGCATGACTCAGCTAAGCCTGGCTGCTTGCTACTGCTCAATAGCAGCCATCCTATGAAAGCTAGTGTGGTATAGCAGTTAGTGCTTCAGAGTAGGGTCTGAGAGACCCAGGTTCAAATCCACATCTTGCTGTGGAAGTTCACTGGGCATTTTTGGACCGGTCACATACTTTCAGCCTAATCCATCTCACAGGATTATTGTGCAGATAAAAAGGAGGAGAGGAGAACAATGTATGCTACTTCGATCCCCACTGTGGAAAAAGGTGGGATATAAATGAAGTAAATAAGTAATAAATACAGCTGAAAATGGGAGGAACATAAAATGCAGATTGGTGAATGGCTGAGAAGGAGAGAATGGGGCAGGGAACTGTGGCACCCTCACCCCCAGCAGCCTCTACCTAGGGAACTGGCACACAACTGGGCCAGTTTTCCTAGGTAGAGGCTGCTGGGGGGGAGTGGGAAAACCTAAGACAGAGAGGCAGATGAAGGTAGGTTTGCTGTTGGGTGAGAACGAGATAGGGATACCAACTCAAGGTCAGGACATTTCTGGAGGTTGGGGGGTGGGGGCTAGAGAGGGTTGGGGGTTGAGGAGGAGAGGTACCTCAGAAGGATATAATGCCATAGACTTTGTGCTTCAAAGCAGCCATTTTCTCCATGGGAACTAGGGTTGCCAGCTAGGTGGGGGCTGGAGATCACCCAGAATTACAACTGATTTCCAGATGCCAGAGATCAGTTCCCCTGGATAAAATGGCTGCTTTGGACCGTGGACTCTATGACATTATATCCTGCTGATGTCGCTTCCCTTCCCAGCTCTCATCCTCCCAAGGCTCTACCCCCAAATCTTCAGGGATTTTCCAAGCTGGAGCTGGCAACCCTATGAGGAACAGATCTCTGCAGTTAGGAAATCAGTTATGATTAAAGGAGATCTCCATGCCCCACCTGGAGGTTGAGAACTCTAGAAAGAGAGAAGGAAGCAGGTGGTCAGTTCTCTTCCTTTCACCATTTATAGGTGCTTACCTGCCAGGAGTGGGGGATACCCTGCCCCAGGCCCCACCCCCACCACCGATCAGTTGGTCAGGGACTTACCAACAGTGGGGGAGGCCTTACACCAGCATTTCAGCATTGTTGCTGGCAATGTGGTGATGACAGTACATGGCTGACAACGATGCTGAAACACTGGTGTAGGCCTTCCCTACTGCCGGTATGTCCCCACCCCACCCCCGGTTGGTAACCAGGGATACCTGGCAACCCTGGCTCACATTGAAGGCCAATTTTTAAAGCATTCTCAGCATCAAGCAAATTCAGACATGGCATTGGGCGTTGTCAGCATCCAGGTGGAACCTGGCAATTTCCCAGAATTACAACTAGTCTCCAGACTAGAGATATCTTTTTCCCTGGAGAAAATGGCTGTTTCAGAGGGCAGACTCTATGGCTTTATACCCTACCAAGGTTCCTCACCTTCCCAAACTCTTCCCTCCCCATGCTCTACCCCCAAATATCCAGGAATTTCCCAAACTGGAGTTGGCAACTCTAGGATGGAACCTGGGGAGATCAGAGTTTGGAAATGTGATGCCATAGAGCGCACCCTTCAAAGCTGCCATTTTTTCCCAGGGAACTTGTCTTTGGAGTCTAGAGGTCAGTTGTAATTCTGGAGAATTCCATACCTCCTCTAGGAGACTTACAAACTTTTCAAGCTTGCCCTCAAGGCATTAGACCTGAAAATTAGACCACATGTCATCTAAAAATGAATCTTTGTTCTATTTTGTTGTTTTTAGGGATCCCTTTATTTTTGTATGTGTTAATACTGAGCCAAAATGTTGTTCTTGCTTTGTTACCCTATTTTGGCAATTTTGGGGACTACATACAAAGGCCAAGTGTTCACCTCACTCAGCAGTGGCAGTAATCATGCTCCCAGCTACTGTTAGGCATCATTACTTCCTGCTCTCACTCTGATGTGGCTTTTGACATGCCATATAGCTAATAGAATGTGGCTGTATGGTGACATCTGACACCACAAAAGAGTGAGGGTAGGAAGCATTGCTCTGTATCCCCTGGTGTTTTCTTTTTTAACAAAGAATGCTCTTCTCTTTTCTTACAGCTTCTAGATTGTTTTGTCATACCAGTTGTGATATTACTTTCTTGGTTCTTCCTCCTGGTGCGGTACAAGGCAGTGCATTTCATCGGCATTGTGGTCTGCATTTTGGGAATGGGCTGTATGGCAGGAGCAGATGTCCTTGTTGGAAGACAGCTAGGAGCAGGTAAGTATTTGTATAAGCTTTCCCATCTAGAAAAAAATGTCCTTTGATCATTCTCCAATTATCAGAAAGTGCATAATATATTCCTAAAATGTAGTTGTTAAATTAGGTTAGATTATTTTGAAAACTACCTTTCCATTTGGCAGGGCTATCCTTGAGACTTACATAGGGCTACCCTTGAGACTGACCCAGAAACTCCAACTGTTCCAGAATGTGGCTGCATGTGTGGTTACAGGAACACCACTTAGAGCCCACATACAACCAGTGCTCCACGTTGAATACTGGATCAAGTTCAAGGGTTCTAACCTTTAAAGCCCTACACAGTCTGGGACCAACATATTTACTGGACTGTCTCTCCTGGTATGTCCCCCAACGAGCACTGAGCTCAATGGATAATAATCTCCTGGTGATCCCCAGCCCAAAAAGTATTCGTTTAGCCTCGACTCAAGCCAAAGTCTTTTTGGCTCTGGCCCTGACCTGGTGGAACGCTCTTCTTTCTTCCAGACAAGATCTGGGCCCTGCGGAATTTAATGCGGTTGAGGCAACAAAGTTTCCATCTGAATTGGCCTCCCCCAGCCATTTTCTCTGCCATGTATCCTGTCAATTGCACCAGGGTATTATCCATCGTCACACAGGCTATACAGCCTCGCTTTGGACAAGTTATACTACCTCTATATGCCATCTGATTTGACTGTTTAATTTACTGTTGTAAAAAAAATTAATAACTAATTCATAGTATTTTTAACAGGGGTGTTACCTGCCCTGAGCCCTGCTTTGCAGGGGAGGGAGGACTATAAGTTGAATATAATAAATAAATAAACAAGAAGTGCCAGATGTTATTAAAAGTGTTTAAGAAAATAATTATTTTTCATTACAGCAGAATTTGAAAAGTAGATTTTCTAACAGCTATTTTTAAGGTGCTTTGAGTACTGACCGCATTTAGGGTTACCAGGTATCTCCTGGCAACCAGTTGGGGGTGGGGACTTAGCGGGAGCAAAGAGAAGCCTGCAACATGCCAACTTCACTTCCAGTGAGCTCCGGAAGTGATATCATCATGTGTCGGTGACATGGGGACTATCTAGTATTTGGGCAAAAATTCTATGGTAGAAGTCATTTTTACTATAAAGTTTTTGACCAAATACAAGAGCATCCCTGTGCCACTGGCAACATGATGACGTTACTTCGGGTGTGCACTGGAAGTGACATCATTGCCTTGCCAGCAATGATGGCCTAGGCCTTCTTTTGCTGCCAGTAAGGCCCCCACAGGTCCCCTGATCAGCACTGAGGGGAGGAGCACCAGAGCAGGGGAACCCCCACCCCCCACTGGGGGCCTGGCAGCCCTAACTGCATTCCTGTACATATTTACTCATAAGTAAGTCCCACTGTGTTAAGTGGGACATACTCCCAGGAAAGTACAGATAGGATATTTTGGGATAGACCCAAAATATGTTTACTAAGGCCATAGGAAAGCTATGCTTGGATCCAGATTAATGTTTGTCATGACCAATGTTCCCTCGAAGGTGTGCAGTCTCGTAAGCAGAAATTTTACTCTGTGAGCCAAAAGTGGTCCTAGCGTTAAAACTGTGAGTGGGCCAACATTAAAAAAATTATTAAAGTGTACAAACATTCAAACAACATATAAACTATTATCATTTGTATTACAAATCTTTATATGAAACATATTTGTATTACTTAACCTCCCAGGCTTAAGGGCACAGAGAGTCACTTCGCAAAACATCAGAAGCCACCAGATCGCCTCTAGCACGCTGCTGAGCCCGGCTCCCCCCCCCCTTTCCAACTAACTTTACAGGCTTAAGGGCACAGAGAGTCACTTCGCAAAACATCAGAAGCCACCAGATCGCCTCTAGCACGCTGCTGAGCCCGGCTCCCCCCCCCCTTTCCAACTAACTTTACAGGCTTAAGGGCACAGAGAGTCACTTCGCAAAACATCAGAAGCCACCAGATCGCCTCTAGCACGCTGCTGAGCCCGGCTCCCCCCCCCCTTTCCAACTAACTTTACAGGCTTAAGGGCACAGAGAGTCACTTCGCAAAACATCAGAAGCCACCAGATCGCCTCTAGCACGCTGCTGAGCCCGGCTCCCCCCCCCCTTTCCAACTAACTTTACAGGCTTAAGGGCACAGAGAGTCACTTCGCAAAACATCAGAAGCCACCAGATCGCCTCTAGCACGCTGCTGAGCCCGGCTCCCCCCCCCCTTTCCAACTAACTTTACAGGCTTAAGGGCACAGAGAGTCACTTTGCAAAGCACCAGAAGCTACCAGATCGCCTCTAGCAGGCTGCTGAGCCCAGCTCCCCACCCCAAGACAAAACAAACAACCAAGCAGCTCACATCAGGAAGGGCAGAAGCTGGGCAACAGAGCAGTCCTCCTTCTGGGCCAGGGTATCTCCAGGAGCACGAGGCAGAGGACTACTGGGGAGGGTAGCAGCACCCCCTTTCACAGGGCAAGCAAACTGCAGCTGAGGGGAGGCGGGGCCAGCCCAGATTAGGAAACACAAAGCATACTGCTGTGTTTCTGTGCTGCCTGAGCAAATGGATCCGTGCTGCATGGCCATTGGGAAGGGAACCCCTCGCCCCTGCACTGTGGTAACAATTGCTGCGCTGGCCAGGGGAAATCGGTGCACCAGCGCAGCTTGGCACAGCTTAAAGGGAACCTAGGTCACGACCACAAGGACGTCTACCCATGGAGTTCAATTTTCCCATCTACCCTTGCTAGCAGGAGCCCACCCCCACCCCCAACACTATTCCCCTCACCCAAATTGGGGGATTGGGTGGTATTTGGGGCTGCCAAGGGAAGGTCTTCTGCTCTATGTGCAGAAGTCCTTGTGCCTGTAGAAGATTTTAGTCTAGATCCAATGCCAATTGTTTGCACAAAGGTTGCATAGCTGCTACAGGTATTCCTTTGCATGTGTGGTCATGATCTTGTACAATTTACCCTCCATGTACTGTGCACGTAAGTGCCTTTCTTTGGCCTGTGCAGGGAATAAGTAATGTTTAAATTGGGCTTAAATAATTTCACAAATTGGGAAAGCGATCCACCTATAGGTTCATCCATGGGCAAAAATCCTACATATAAGTCCTCTTCAGATATTCTGAATTAGGGTTGCCAACTTTGGACTGAGAAATTCCTGGTGATTTAGGCTTTGCACCTGGGAATTTTGGGGTTTGGGGAGGGGAAGGAACTCAGCAGGGAAACTGATCTCTGTAGTCTGGAGGCCACTTGTAATTCCAGTAGATCTCCAAGCCCCACCTGGAGGATGGCAACCATATTCTGAATAGCCATAGAAATGGGATTGTGCCAGCTGGCCCTGTCCTCAACCTGCAGCATGTACTGAAGTATGTATGTCGTCTCCTCCATATGATTTGAACACTGTAGAAAAACAGGGTCCCAATTGCAGGGAGTTGGGTTGCCAGGTCTTACCTGGCTGCTGGCAGTGTGTGTGTGTGGGGGGGTGTCCTGGTGTTCTTCCTGGAGTTCTTCGGCGTGCACACAAAGCGCGTGCAGGGCACATTGCAGGGGACACTCTATCATTTAAGGGAAAACGCTGTGGTTTTCCGTAAATGATCAAATGTCCCCCCTGCAACAAGCCCGGCGCGATGATGTCACCTCAGGGTGCTTTGGGGCAGGGTTCCCCCTGCCAGTCGGATTGGGCCTGGCGGATCTGGGGGCCCAAAAGCGGGCAAACCCCCACCCCTGTCAGGGGAATGGAAGGCCTAGCAGGGAGGAAGGGCTGCAGACATTTTGCTGAGATTGTGGACATTAGGGATGAAGCCAGCTCACAGATCAGGCCTTTGTATGCATGTTCAGTGAAAGTGTGGACAATCTTTTGAAGACGTCATCTAGCAGCAGAGAAGTCTAGGCCCTCTCTCTGATGCCTAGTTGTTTATGTTCAGGGGTTTTTAAAAAATGTGGGACAGCATTCAGTAACAGCAGCCCTCATCCCCTTACAATCTGAAGTGTATACTCCAGGAATAGATTTCATGTGCTGAACTGCTTATCTGGTTTGCACAAACACATGCATCAGTTGAGATCTAGTGACCTGATGACTTTCAATTGAATGTGTGAACTGTCTCTCTATAAAAACATTGTGATATAAATTTTGTCAGTTCTTTAATCCAACAAGTGTGTGTGTGTGTGTGTGATCTTGAACTGAGATGGAAGGGCATGGGGGAGGCACTACAAATTCTATAACAAAAGCTTTTTATTATTCTAAACAAATAATTGTAGTAAAATGGACAGTAAAGAGTTAACTGGAACCTGATTATGGGTTGGAGGAAAACTCCACCCTCCTGGACTGTTCGCTTTTTCTTAGTTTCAGTTTCTGTGTTAGTTTGAAGTTGGTTGCAATAAAGCAGTTGTGTTACATTCAGCAACTCATGTGAGTACATAAGATTTATTTCATAATCACTGTGAGATCACAAAAATAATGATGTACTTAACATCCTTTTTTTTGTTTCTAGGAGAAAATAAGCTAATAGGGGACCTTCTCGTGCTAGGTGGAGCCACCCTGTATGGCATCTCCAATGTTTGTGAAGAGTACATTGTACGGAACCTGAGTCGGGTGGAGTTTCTAGGCATGATTGGACTCTTTGGTTCCTTCTTCAGTGGAATTCAGCTGTAAGTAAGGATGAGCATCATCATGATATACTGATGAATCAACGTAAGCCTTGTGGTCACTGCTTCTACCAGTTTTATTGGAAACCTGATCTGGTATACGAGATCAAAAGAGCGTTTGGCCCAGACCTCTACTACAAGGTGTTTCAATCCCTTTATCATCTGCTATAGTTTCATTTAACTGGTATATTCTAGAGAAAATGTCACTGCAATGTAGTACAAATGCTGAAGGCCAAGTAGATGGTACACAGAGATTTGTATAACATGATCCTGATGAAATGCAGCCTTGCGGGGCTGTGAGAGGAAGCAAAAGGGCAGCAGGGAGAGTTTGCTTTCACTGATTTTCTACTAGCTGCTCTCTGCTTTCCTAGAGGGAAGACACAGGGCATCTGTATGTAGCCTCAAATTGGCCCATATTTTAAAAAGTGTAAAAAAGCAGCCTGGGAAGGCTGTCTTTAGGGATGATTGCCATCTCTGATTTTGCAATGCAAACAAGCTACATGCTGTTTCAGACTACTCTCCAGATTGGATCCTATTTCAGTGGACTTCCAGTTAGCAGTCCAGCTAAATTCAATCCTGACTGTTAGAGACAATTCTGTAAGTGCTTGCCTGCTTCTGAGAGCTCAGACGGTTCTTTATGGTTTGGAATCTCCCCCTCCCCACTTGTATCTGTAGTCTCCAGAGACACTGGGAGGAAAATGGGTAGACCAGGGAGAAAGAGGAGGCAAGAAATAGACCATTCCCTCTCTGTTCCTGGGGTTCTGCTCTATAAAAGTTCACAGTCTTTGACAGAAGACCTTGGGATTGAATCTCTAGGAGTGGAGAGCAATTGAGATCTAAATGGGAAGGAACTGGGGAAATTTGCTCAACCCCTATATGGGGAACAAAAGAATGGCCCAAAGTGTGTGCTTGACACTTTCCCCCCTTTTTAGCACATATAATTCTAAACTACATACATTGACTTCAAAGTAATTCAAAGGTATTAGGGAACTGGCTGGTGATTTTTCTAAAATCATTTTGGACTGTCAAAGATAAGCTAGTTTCTTATCTACACATTTGCAGTGCCGTTCCTTCTATTTTCTAAGGCTGGGCATCCTTTGTGCACAGTTTGGCTCTGTTTTTATTACCCTTGTTTCTCTCTCTCTTGTGTGTCTGCTTGGTCAGTATTAATATTTCAGTTTAATGGATTTCAGTCATGTTCTAAATCAGTGCTGGGCAAACCTGCGTTGACCCAAAGGTAGCAGTGTTGCAGCTGAAAGGCCCCAGGGGCAACATCAAGCTGTGCTCTCCCTGTCAACGTGAAGAAATACATTTCATTGGAAAACAAAATAGAACCTTTGGTTCACAAAATAAGATACATAAAAGAGCCCTGATTAGTAATTTCTTTTCTGCTTGCCTTGGTGCTGATGCAGAGAAAGCATGTGGTATAGTCATTTGTTGGCTATACTACTTATGACCTCAGGTGGGAGACTTTCATGTGTGAATATTCCCTCAGATTAGCCAATTTCTATCCACTGGGAAATTACAACACTAGGGAAAAGACTTGTCTACAGTTCTTCTCTTTGACATGCTAGTGTTAAGGCAGTTTGTACATTATGTGTGTTATGTGCTGTCAAGTCACTTCAAATTTATGGTGACCCTATAAATTAATGACCTCCAAAACATTATATCAATAATAACCTTGCTCAGATCTTGCAAACTGAAGGTTTTTTTATTGGGGGGAAGTATTCAAACACAAGAGCAGCACACAACTGCAGTCAGAATGTGATACCATCCTGGTGGTAATTTTTTTTTTTTTTTGCAGATTTGAAATTAAGCCTGGATAATTTTCTTTTCAAAACAGAACAGAATTAAATTCTGAGTCAGCTTCAGCTGTCTGGGCCTGAAAACTGCTATTTCGCAGATAAAGTCCGGGAAAACCATAGAGTTTTCCCTTGGATGACCGTGGCCCCGTCCCCAGCGTGCCCGGCGTGGTCGCGTCACTTCTGGGTGACGTGCATGTTGCATGCTTTGGGGGTGGGGTTCCCCCCAGGGCCCGATCCGGCGGCGGTGGGGAACGGGCCTCTGGGGCAGGGGTTTCCCCGCCCCCCAGGGGGACTTGTCAAGCCTACGCTAAACCCAGGTTTAAAATTACACTTGTGTTGATGTATTCATAACAAGCAGCAACCAGCTTGTTTCCTCAGGTGTGGAATTTGACCTTTGAAGAGGTATAAATCATTGACCGAAGTGAAGATGCAAATCTTGGTCTTGCTTCATTTCTGAAGGCATTGTTTTCCTAGTTTCTGAAAGCTCAGATAGACATTACCGTGGCTGTGGGCCAGACATTACTGTGGCTGCCAGTGTCAGCTGACAGAAAAATCTGGCCATTAAAAAGTGTTGTGAGGGCCCAAAACTGTTTTGGCACTTAAAAAGGCCTGGCGAGGGGCACAAGATTGTCTGGTCCCACTGCCCTGAGGCCAGTGTGATGGGACCAGGTAATCTTGCAGCATTTTTAAATGGCTAAATCTTTCTCTGATATGGCGGCAGACACAGGTTGGTCCTGTGGCCGCTGTAACATCTAGTTTGGCCCAGAGATTCATTTGCATGGTGCCTTGTGGGCTAAAGAACCCTTCCCTGTGCTTCTGCCAGGAAACCCCTGTGTGTTTCACAGGCTTTTTGGAAATCTCCTGGGGCGTGCATGCAACTCCTCCAGAGAACTGGCCAGGTCATTTGCTCTATCTAATGTTGGACGGCCGGTCAGATTCCAACCCGGATGACCTTCATCAGGCATTGCAGGCTGTGGCTGGTTGGCTCAGACTGAGCCGGTTGAAACTAAACCCAGCAAAGACGGAGGTCCTGGGTCTGGGTCGGATTGGTTCAGGGCTGGGGCTCCTTCTCCCAACCCTTCGATGGGGCGCCTCTGGTGCCAGCGGCGGAGGTTAGGAGTTTGGGTGTGCTCCTGGATTCCTCCTTAACGATGGAGGCCCAGGTGGCAGCCACTGCCAAGTCGGCCTTTTACCACCTTCGGCTGGCTCGGCAGTTGGTCCCTTTTCTTGACCGTGATGACCTGGCCACAGTGATCCATGCGATAGTCACCTCAAGGTTAGACTACTGTAACGCTCTCTACATGGGGCTGCCTTTGTCACAAATCTGGAAGCTGCAGCTAGTGCAGAATGCGGCACCCAGGCTGTTGATGGGTCTCTCCAAGCGGGAGCACATCCGCCCTGTGCTGAAAGCGCTGAACTGGATGCCAATGGCATACCGAATCAAGTTCAAAGTGCTGGTTCTTACCTTTAAAGCCCTATATGGCCAGGGTCCGGTCTACCTAAGGGACCGCCTTTCCCCGCATGTTCCTCCAAGGGCACTATGGTCGGGGCGTCAAAATCTCCTGGTAATCCCAGGCCCCAGGAATATCAGATTTCCTGTTACCAGGGCCAGGGCGTTTTTGGTGGCAGCTCCTACCTGGTGGAACAAGCTCCCAGAGGAGATCCGGGCCCTGCGGGACCTTGCGCAGTTCCTCAGGGCCTGCAAGATGGAGCTCTTCCTCCAGGCTTTTGAGTAGGAGCTGTCGCCACCATTATTCCACCATCATTATCATACCTCAATCATGAATTGTGTGGATATTAAATGGGGTGTGAGATGTTCTTGGATGAAGATGGGATGATTGTGTTGCTAGGAGGTATGTTGTTGGCCTGGAATTAATTACTTTTACCAGACCACCATCTTGCAATCACTGATTCTGTGACATCTAGAGCACCGACATTTCAGTGTTTTGTACTGCATTGTTTTATTCTGTTTTTATCTGTTTTAACTTTGGCACTTGTGCCTCTTTGTTAGCCACCCTGAGCCTTTGGGGAGGGCGGGATATAAATCCAATAAATAAATAAATAAATAATAAAACCACATCAGTGATCCCCAACCTGTGGGCTGGGAATCCTTTGGGTGGGACATGAAGTGAATCCATCCATCCAGCTGATCTCTATCTCCTGGATTTCAGTTGTAATCCCAAGAGATCTCCAGCCACTACCTGGAGTTTGGCAAGCCTTATCAGGGGCCAGAAGCATCATTGGGCTGCAGCATATCCCTTTTGACCCCTCCAGGATAGTTCTAAGTGTGCGGGAGAAGGGATCATCCCCAGACAGTTCATGTATCTGAAGTGAGCTCTGACTCAAGAAAGCACATGCTGGAATTAATGTTATTTGCTAAGGTGCTGCTGGACTTCTTATTTATTTTGCCACCTAGATTAGTAATCACTACATTATCACCTGAGGAAAAGACCTACAGTTTAACAGGTACCCAGATATCTGACTGTGTATTCTGGAGATGAGGTTCCCCTTCCTCCAACCCATGTGCCATCTCTAAGGCCATTGTGGGGGAACAGCTAGGAACTCCTTGTTCATGCCTGCATCAAGCACATTTGAGAATTTTCTTCACAAGGAACGTTTACATTGAACTTTAGTCATTATTTGTGAGCTCCTTTGGGAGCCAACACTGAAAAGCATGGTTAAAATCAGAATAAATAAGCATCTACCAATTGTTCTGCCAAGGTCTAAAAACTCGTTGAGTATCCAAATGAATTCCCTTGAGTACACACTAACTGCTGCTGTGTTAGCAAAGGCAGCAACACCAGTCACTCCAACGTATACAAGTACAAGAAGTTTTCTTATACTGTGTCTAGTCATATAGTGGCCTACCCTTCAACCAGACAAACTTTCTCTGAAAGCTGCAAAAGAGTACCACCCACTTCATTAAATGAGCAAACATACATAGTCCAAAGAAATAATGTCTTGTAAGTGTATGTATTACTAATTTTCAAATGTATGTAGATGCTGTTATGATTAATAAAACAGAAAAATCATTTCAAAGCATCACTGAATTCATAATAACCTTTGGTCCTTATGTTTTTTTTTTTTCAATCAATGGATTATAATAGTACAACTACTATCATATGGGAGCTGCGGTGGCTCAAGTGGTTAAGACGCTGAACTGCAGGCTGTGGAAGGTCAGTAGTTCAGCGGTTCAAGACCCAGGTACCGCAAGACAGGGTGAGCTCCTGTCTCTAGTTCCAGCTCCTGCCAACCTAGCAGTTCGAAAGCAAGAAATTGCAAGTAGATAAATAGGTACCACTTCGGTGGGAAGGTAACAGCGTTCCGTGCGCCTTGGTGTTTAGTCATGCCGGCCACATGACCACGGAAACGTCTTCGGACAGCGCTGGCTCTTCGGCTTTGAAACGGAGATGAGCACCGCAACCCTAGAGTCGGACTCGACTGGCTTTCGAGCAAGGGAACCTTTACCTTTACCTTTACTATCATATGGGGGTGTGCAAAAAAAAAAAGACATTAAAAGGGGTCATCATGCTCAAAAAGGTTAGGAACCACTGTGCTACTTATTAGCCATAAGCTACAAGTTGAGGATCTGTAATATGAATCTAAATTATGTAACATAAGAACTATGCTTCCTAGCCTCTTCAAAAGAGTAAAGACGTGCAAGAGTTCCATGTACTCCGTTTACCTTCTGGTAAGCACATATGAAAAAATATGAGAGCACCCACTGCTGTGGCTAGTTATGGTTTTAAAAAGCTGCAGACAGGGAGCAAAGTAACTGTCTCAGAAGATATCCTACTAAGAATTTGGATCCAACCGAAAGATACATGAAATTTTCACAGATTTGTTTCTTAAAAAATTATACAGTGCTTTTCTTCTCCCCCCCCCCCTTCCCGGTCATTCAGAGTGTATTATAGTCCACAAAAGAGTAATAATGTAAAGCATTATAAAAATCACATTGGACAGAAGCAAACAGAAATAAGAAACAGGCGAAGCCAGATTTTTAGACAAGCTCCTATGTTATAGCTATGCCCCCAACCAAATCTGTACAAGAAATTTCTCCTGGCGTAAATATACCTTATGCTCAAAGAAGTTTTGAGGATTAAAACATGCCTTTGAAAATATGACTAACAAAGGGACTTATAATAACAATAAACGTTCTCAATAATATTGCTATGTAGTTGCAGTTCTAATTTTTCTTTATTTCCAGGATGGATTAGAATCAAATTGAATCTAGGCTGGGCATTGTCCTGAAGCAATTAACAGATCAAAAACCAAACATTTTTTGCAAAATCTTGTAAGGTAGAGGAGGACTTCATTGGTCTGTCCGCAAGATTTCTCTGCCTTTAATGTAATCTTCATTTTGGTAGCTTCATCCTGAGAAGGATGAGGAAATTACAGTGCATTTATTACTCATGCATTGTTACTCTAAAGGTTTATGTATAATTATGAGATTATCCTGTTATATGAATATGAATGAGACATGCATCTGTTTACCTCTTTTCTCCCACTGCCTGTAGAAGGATGGATTTATTAGCACAAAATTGTTAATACGAAATTTCTTTCAAAATTACTAAATGGGGAAATGGATATTCCAAAACTGTGGTAAACACTATTATATCAGCCTTGTGAAATAATAATCCTTCCATTTTCACGAAAGTAGAGACATCACCCTGCCAACAAAAGTCCGCATGGTCAAAGCAATGGTATTCCCTGTAGTAATGTATGGCTGTGAGAGTTGGACTATAAGGAAGGCCGAGCACCGAAGAATAGATTCTTTTGAACTATGGTGCTGGAGAAGACTCTTGAGAGTCCCTTGGACTGCAAGAAGATCAAATCAGTCAATCCTAAAAGAAATCAACCCTGACTGTTCCCTGGAAGGCCAGATAATGAAACTGAAGCTCAAATACTTTGGCCACCAAATGAGAAGGGAGCACTCACTGGAGAAGACCCTGATGCTGGGAAAGATTGAAGGTCAAAGAAGACGGGGACGGCAAAGGATGAGATGGTTAGACAGTGTAATTGATGCAACGAACATGAAGTTGAGCAAACTTCAGAGGACGGCGGAAGACCGGAAGGCCGGGCGTGATCTGGTCCATGGGGTCGCGAAGAGTCACACTCGACTGTGCGACTGAACAACAACAACAACACCAGTTCTGGAAGTTATGTGTGGATCCAGATTAAATTGTCAATTTCCATTGGTTCTTCCCCCGCTTCTCACTCCATGTCATTCCTCAAGGTCCTCTATCCCTCAGGAATAGTATTTTGTGGAGATCTGCTCTGGGAGGACAGAGGCATGGAAGTTCTATTCTGCTGATGGAGAATTTAGCTCGGATCCAACTCATATTATGGCTGCTTTGGAGAGTGGACTCTTTGGCATTATACCCTGCTGAGGTCCTCCCTTCCCAAACCCCGCCCTCCCCAGGGTTCACCCTCAAATCTCCAGGAATTTCCCAACCTGGAGTTGGCAGCACTATTCCACTAGGCATTTTAAGTTCATCAACAGTTTGAAATGAGCCAACCTGGATCATTTTTACTAGTTCTAGGTAGATTGCTATTTACAATCCCTATTTGGAAATCTCACATTTCATTTCTCTCCCTGATGTTATTCAACATTTACATGCGCCCCCTCACCCAGCTAGTGCAGAGTTTGGGGGCTGGGTGTCATCAATATGCGGATGACACCCAGCTATTTCTGTTGATGGGCGACCAACCGGATGCTGTTCCCATTCATTTAGCCAAGGGCTTGGAGGCTGTGGTTGGGTGGCTGAAGCACAGCCAGTTGAAACTGAATCCAGGTAAGACAGAGTTTCTCTCGCTTGGGGGGGGGGGAAATGGTCGGGTAGTCAACTCCCAGCTCTTGATGGGGTGCCCTTATCATTGGCACCATCCGTTAGGAGCCTGGGTGTGACTCTGGATGCCACCTTATCTGTGGAGGCCCAGGTTGCAAAGGTTGCCAAGCTGGCATTTTTCCAACTCCACCAGGTTAGGCAACTGGCTCCCTACCTGTCTCGCCCTGACCTAGACACAGTAATCCATGCAACAGTCACTTCTAGGACAGACTACTATAATTCGTTCTATGCGGACCTACCCTTGCGCCTGACCTGGAAGCTCCAACTGATCCAGAATGCAGCTGTGCAGGTCCTTACGGGGACCCCTCAGATGGTGCATATTCAACCTGTGCTGTGTGAGCTGCACTGGCTTCCAGTGGAGCACCAGATCCAGTTCAAGATTCTGGTTTTGACCTTTAACACCATAAGTGGTCAGGGACCCACATACCTTCAGGATCGCCTCTCTCAATATGTCCCTGGAAGAGCATTATGCTCTAGGAATAAGAACCTTCTGGTGGTCCCCAGCCCGAGAGATATCCAGCTGTTCTCAACTAGGGACAGGGCCTTTTCGGCCCTGGCCCCCACCTGGTGGAACTTTCTGCCCTACAGGATTCACTTCCTTTCTGTAGGGCTTGTAAGTCAGAGATGTTCCGCCAGGCATTTGGTTGAGGTCAGCAATGGTCTGGCACTCTCCTGTGCCAGTCCCCCCCTCCCTTTTTATTCTGCATATCTCCTCTACCCAGGGGGCTGGTGGAAAGTACTGTCATCTTGGAGTTAATGTTGTGTTTGGCTGATTTTTAACTATTTAAATGCTGTTTTAACTCAATATTATTGTATTTCTGATGTAAGCTGCCCAGAGCCCTGTTCGCAGGGAAGGGTGGCTGATAAATTGAATATGATAAATAAATAAATAAAATAATAAATAAATATAAATTTACACTTGAAACCGAAATCTATTTATGTTTTCACACTAGCTATCACAATATGAATGGGAAATTAATATTGGGGAGGTATTTTCTGAATTTGATTTGAATTTGAAAACCATTTGCTACAGATGTTTGTCCACTCTCCTTATACTTAAGTCTCTAGATTTATATTAATTCCGTTTTCAAATCAGTATTGCTCTTTATACCTCTCTGTATGTGCTGGTCATCTTCTAGATTCCACCAATTTAACAAGGTGCCAGTCCTTTGGCTCACTCAGTGCCAGTTCCACTGTGTTATCATCAACTGTGTGTTTGTCTGGAATTGGGAAGAATATAGGAAAGCAGGTTCATTTGTATTTTCAGTCATTAACATGAAGACTGCTCGTTATATTGAACATAAGCTATGAATTCACATACATACTTCGGAGTTTGCACACCGTTGTGCTTCTGTGTGCTACAAAGCAGTAGGAGGATTCAGTTTTCAGATTTACAATGCAATCCTCCTTTTAGTGGGTTGAAACTGGAATAAGTCTCCAGAGAATTGCACTGTTGATTATCTTGCATAGAAATATCCACTTTAAGTAATTTAGGAAGCAGCAATATGTAAACTCTGTTAAACATGTCTTTGTCGAAGCCCTCCGTTTACCCAGAATGAATTCCCTGAGTCTTAGTCCCAAGTATTTCTAGTTGAAATGAGTGGTAATTACTTCACAGTTCATAGCTTCATGTTCATGCTACTGAACTGATTATAACCACAAGAAAGTTTGACCTCGACCAACTCAGTTTTGGTGCAACTTTTATTGGTTATCTTCCCAGTACATTCTGTGTGATCAGTCATTTCTTGGCTGTGATTTATTTGGATTTTCTTCACTACAAACAAGTTAATACAGTTCACAATAATATATCACCAATATTTCAGATTTAAGAGCTCTCAAACATTCACACTATTGACACCAATATATCATATTGCTCTGAGTAGACAGCTTGGTTTTCATTAAATCAGTTCAATTTTTGTATTAGTGAGTATTATTACATCACCAATTACCTTTCAAACACAGATTTACAGACATAAAATTGATTAAAGAGATCTGTCTGCATTTAGCCTGTGCAAGTGTTTTCCCCATGTTTTATAATAACCCACCTCCCTTATTTTTACTGTAGGAAGGTAACTAGAAAGACTGAGTTCTCATCTTCATTTTTTATTTTTACTTCTTTTGCAGTGCCATAATGGAACACAAGGAGTTGTTAAAAGTTCCCTGGGATTGGCAAATTGGTAAGAGCATGACTCAGTTCACAGAGAGAAATTAAAGGAGGAATGATGTATGGATGGGTGCTGGGAATGTTGAAGGTGACAGTGTTTGCAGTGTTATCGAATAACACTGTCTAGACTGGAGACGACATACCTAATCTTCTGTCTTTATGTTCCTCGGGTGCTCACTCCAGTGAGTATGTCCAATGGGAGCTGGAGGCTGAGATCTATAAGTAGGGAAAGTTTTCCCCAAAGTTTCTCTCTTGCTATTCTCTCTGGAGAGGGTAGAGTCAGGGAGCCCTTGAAATGTGTCTTAGCTTGATCAGGAGAAAGTTGGCTGCACTGCAGAATGGAGTGGGAGGCATCCTGCAAATCAGGGCTGTTGTGCAAGCGAAATGGGAAGCCCCATCAAAGTTGGACTGTTTTCAGCCTAACAGTTCTCTATCTCTGTCATCCACCCACTTAACTGTAGTACTATGGCTATATGTCCTGTGTTGTTACTTTAGACACAGAATAAGCATGTTAATGTCCAGATAGCTGAGCAGCAGAGGGATAAAAAGCCAATAAGAGATACAGCATTTGAGATGTAAGAGTTCCAAAAAACAACCCCTTTTCATTGAATGTTGGATTTTCTTAGCCACTGATTAGGGGGTTGGAGCACCTTCCCTATGAGGAAAGGCTGAAGAGTCTGGGACTTTTCAGTTTAGAAAAGAGAAGACCAGGGCTCTTTTTGTAGAAAAAGCCCACAGGAACTCATTAGCATAATAGGCCACACCCAACAGCAGGAACTCATTAGCATATTGGGCCACACCCCTGACAGCACAGCTCATTAGCACATTAGGCCACACCCCCATGTTACCAGAAGTGTGGTTATCCAGCCACACCCACCTTTTGCTTGTTATTCTGTTTACCTTGTTTGTTGTCAAAACCCAAAGCTTTTTTGTAGCAGGAACTCCTTTGCATGTTAGGCCACACACCCCTAATGTAGCCAGTCCTAATGAGTTTTTGCTGTTGGGTGTAGCCAATCCTAATGAGTTCCTGCTGGGCGTGGCCAACTTGGGAGCCAGCCGGAACTCCATTCCTGTGCGTTCCTGCCCAAAAATAGCCCTGGAGAAGATTGGGGGGGGGGCATGAGAGAGGTTAATAAAATTATGCATGGAGTGGACAGAATTGAAAGAAATGTTTCTCCTTCTCCCCAAATACTAGAACTTGAGGGCATCCAATGAAGCTGAAGGGCAGTAAGTTCAGAATGGGCAAATGGAAAGACTGCTTTATCCAGGGAGTGATTAAAATGTGGAATTCACTGCCAGAGGATGTAGTGATGGCCACAGGAATAAACAGCTTTAAAGGGGGGTTAGATAGATTCTACTAACCATGGTGACTGAGGGGAACCTCCACGTTCAGAGGCACTAAGCCTCTGAATCCCAGAGCCATGAGGCAACATTGGGGAAGGCCTTGGCCTCTATGCCCTGTTGTTGGCCCTCCAGAGGAACTGGTTGGTCACTGTGTGAGAAAGGATGCTGGACTAGATGGACTACTGGTCTGATCCAGCAGGGCTCTTATGCTCTTATGTATGCAAATGGCTAGTTATTTCCAGGAAGATAAACATATGACCTCCCTGGACTATCACAATCCCAGCATACCATAGAAATGGTCATGTACAATAAACTGTGTTTCACTTTACTATTAAACCAAATATTCCATTTTCGCTTTAGTTCATGGGCTCAGGTATCTTTGCTAAACACGGTTTTCTTTATAAGAATCAGCATTTAGGTATGATCTTTGCATTTGATATTTGCAACAGAATGCTCTAAGAATAAGATACACGTGCTGAATAATGTAAAATGGCAAGCTGAGCACAAATGGCTCTGATAATGAGAGCCAAGATAATGTGTTTGTAAAATGTGTCCCTATTAACCTACTTCCAGAATCAACATCAAAAGCAGCAGGTTCAAAAGCACTCCTGGTCTGCTAGTGACAAAAGGGAATCCCTGAGCACTGGAGTAACACACTGGTCTGTTGCCTCCTGTGGGCTTTTGCTCATGGGTCTCACTAATTATCCCCAAACCTTAATAGAACACATGCACATCTGTCAGGATGCTCTGCCACAAGATTTTTAAAGAAATTTTACAGTATGGTTCCCAAACGAAACAACAAATCAACAGGGTTTCTCACTTTCTTCAAGCAGCACAGAGTTTTAAGCTCCTCCTGGGGCTCATTTCCCTTTTAGGGAGGGAGAGTGAGTTTGAAATGTGGTGTACATTTTCTAGCCAAGGCAACAACAACTGCAGTTTTCACAGGCAGAAGCTCTGCAGCATCTCCAAAATACTCCCCAAACAATCTCCAAAATGGGTCCCCTTTCCTTTTTCTCTGGATTGCTTACTTTCTTAGCAAAAGTGTACAGCGCACACACCGGCTAGAGTATATTTACAGGATGCTTTTTGGCTTTCTCCACCTCTTGAAGTGCAGCTGCAAATTCCAAACAGCCCTTAACATTCGTCTGCCCTGAAGGCCACAAAGATACCCAGCTGTTTAAAAGCCACCTATAATTAGGGATATTTGTATTCTGTGCTAAAAATAAGGCAGCCCACATTTTATATCAAAGCTGAATTCTGTGAGATGAATCAGTTATGCAGTTACGCTGCCCATGGTGAGATTTTTTAACTAGACACATCTCAGCTCACACTTTTGGCCACACTGTTACACAGGCTGTCTCCATTATGAATTCCTATTAAGAGTAGCCAATTATTGAAGAAGAACCTGCTGATATTATAAAGCTGCATTATTTCATCATAATGGATGGAAAAGATAAATGTGTGTGAGTGAAAATGTTTGCCCTGTAGGTCTGTCCTTAGATCAATCTGTTTTAAAGTTAGTGCTCAATTGCTTGCCAATTTTGATCACATCTAGATATTGATCTCTTGCTACTCAAGTATGGTCTTCAAAGCAATTGAAAGATGTTCACAAAGATCTTTGTAAGCATACAGTAGTCTTTTTCCTTTATAAAGGAAACAAATTAAACATTATATAGAATGGCGGTCACTTTGAACATGAACCAATACCAGTGTTGCACTATTGGATTGTTCTCTTATGAGTAAAAAGAATGTTCAAAAATGGGAAAGAAGATCAGCAGCCAAAGTTGTCTGTTTGAAAAAATGTGACTAGACAAGGATAGGGTTCACACAGTAGAATATCAGTCTGGTTCCATGTTGACATGCCAGGTGTAGCACAGCCTACTCTGTAGTACTGTTCATAAAAGGATTGGTGCATGCCATATTATTGCAGGGAGCTGCGGATAAATCCCTGTGCACATTTGTACCCATGCACGTTTCCAGCCATATCAAAAACAAAAGAACCTATTGATCAATGCCTAGACTCTATAGCTGAAAAGCAACTCAGTTGTTATAAAGCACCCATACACAAATGTAAGATGAATTAAGAAACGGAAAGAAAGGTAATGGTGCATTTAGATGCCAACTTCCACTGCAACATGGGTAATGAAAGTATGGATAACTAATGGAAAATGCTGGACCCTTTCAAGAAGGTTTATTTGGAGCTTAGTGAACCTGTCCAAACTCAGTAATGGACACACAAATGCTCTCCAACACATTATTAGTTGTTAATTCTAGAGGGGTGGTTGTGTTAGTCTGTTGCAACAACAACAAAGGAATCTTGTGGTTTGTTAAATATTGTGTTGATTATGCTTTAATTTGTTGTTGATGGAATAAGTGATAATTTGTAGTGAATTCTGCTGATTATTCAGATGCTGTTCACAGGGGTTCTGTTATAGTTTACTGTCTGTAAAATGTGCCACTATAGCAAAGATGCTTTCTTAGCTGTGTAGTCAAGTTATACACAAATTGTGTATATACAAATTGTATATAACTCTGATTCAGGTAGACTTTTTCCAGAATGTGAAAGAGCTATTGTACTAAGTCTTGTAATAACTGAGATGTTTAGATAGATCAAGATGTTTGTTTGTAGCAGTAGAAAAGAGCAAGAGTCCAGTAGCAGCTTAAAGACTAACAAAATTTGTGGTGGGGCGTGCGCTTTCGTGAGTCACTGCTTACTTCTGATGTTTAGAGATGCCAAGGAATGTGTTTGAAATTACATTCCATACAATTTTAAATTAATCACACTTTTCATTATCAAGTACATATGAAGCCATGTCATACAAATCCAGACATTTGTCCCTTATGCCTCTTTATTGTCCCTGTTGGACAGAGGCTGCCCAAGGTCCATTTATTGGGGATCCCAGATTTCGAATTTTGGGACTTCCTCTGTGCAAAGTGTATGATCCACTGCAAAGCCATAGCTCCTCCTTCAATGTATTAGTTTTATCATTTTATTTTAGGAATTAATATCCTGCCTGTTTGAAGGCAATGGACAAATTAAATAAAAACAGGAAAATAGGTGACAAATACTAATACTGGTCGATTTAAAACAGTAAAGCGGAGCCAGTAGTAAAACACAAGGGTGGATCCTATGAGCCCTGTTTCTCCTGTTTCTCCCCCCCCCCCAAGAAAGCTACTCCTGGGGGGTCTCAGAATCCTTGGGAACAGAAATGGAATTTAGGATGGGAGGCAGCAACTTGGGGCAAAATTGGCAGAAGTCTCCTCCTTCCTTTCTTCCTCCTCATTGCTGCTGTCTTCCGCCCCCCCCCCCCATGCCACCTCTGACTCTGTTCTTGAGGATCACCTAGTGCTCATGAGCAGCTTCTTAGGAGAGCAGGAAACATACAGGGGAATATGGGAGAAATTCGTTCTGTGAACTCCTATTCATGGCTCATGGAATTCAACCTAATATATAGCCCAAATATTGCTGTGAAAAGTATGAGTAAACAGAACGGACTTCATCTGGTGCTTGAATTATGATACTTCAGGCACTGGGCAGATTTGATCAGAGAGTGATGTAATGGACTACATTTTTAAAAAGCTTAGAAGTGCTGTACAAACAGCTGAAGGATTGTGAAGGGTTAATCCTTCACAGAAACAGAGAGCCTTGAGTGACAGGCTGCTCCAACCAATCTGATTGATTAGCATCAGCTGAGTAGAGAAAGACTTGAGAGCTGCATGCCAAGGAGAGATTGAGTCTGATTTCTGCCATGAGTTGAGTCTGATTTCAGCCTTAGCTGAGAGCAGTTTAGCACAGACAGAGAACTATGAGAAAGTTGGCAAGAAAGTTTGGGAAGTAGGCAAAGACTCCAATTCAGGCCAAAGAAAGGGGATAGATCTTCTTGAGAGAGAAGAATTTTCCTACCCAGTCAAACAGGGAGTTAGCTCTGAAGAGTGAAGAGATCCTTGGTCTGGTGTGGTTAGAAACTGCCTGTAGAAAGAGTGAGTTAACAACTCAAGATTACTGGTATTTCAATAGAAGGGGTTTGGGTACTGGAAAGGAGTGTATCAGCCTTCTGGAAACTAAAGAAGTCAATGAATACTCAAAGAAAGTGTTACAGAGTGTACTGGAAAGTGTACTGGAAAATACTGGAACAAAAGCCTCTCAACAAAAAAAAAATTATGTAACTCTTATTAGCCTGAAATATAAGAAGACTGTGCATGTACTGGTTTTACCTCAGAGTTATCTATATTGGGTTAACTCAAAACTTTTAACCCCTGATTTCATCTGACCTTTCCCATTTGTGTTGAATAAAATGGTTTGTTAATTTTGAATTTCAAAACATCTCAAGTGCCATTTTCAGGGGTTTAAGTTAAAGGGCGATCCCGACCCTTCCCTCCGGTTCCTGGGCCAAGCCAGCAGTAAAATATCAGTCTGAGACAGGATGGGACAGTCAAAGTTCTTCAGGAAAGAAGAAAACAGACCACTAGGGCTGCTCAATCTGAAAGGGATAGAAAAACATAGGGAAAGTCTGACCTCTGAGGAAGGGAAGAGGACAAGGCCATCATAAGAGAGTTCCATATCCAAGGCACTACTACAGAAAAGGCCTTTCTCTAGTAACTACACACTACTTGCTACACCTTTATGCTTAATTTGGTTGAAACATCTCCTCTCTTAACTGAGGAAATAAAGCAATCCTATTGTTTTTTAAAATGGCGTTTTCTCCCCTCAAAGCAATTGTGCGGAAATCTTAATCCTCTCAATAGTGATACTTCATTTTTTTTTCTCTCTCTCCGCTTGTGGAAGTCACTCAATTATTTTTTGGATTCTTTCTTCTCCCAGGGTTGCTGTATGTTGGCTTTAGTGCCTGTATGTTTGGCCTCTACAGCTTCATGCCTGTGGTCATTAAGAAAACCAGCGCTACAGCAGTCAACCTCTCCCTGCTTACAGCAGACCTGTACAGCCTTTTCTGTGGATTGTTCCTCTTCCACTACAAGGTAAATAGAACAAACTGTGCATTTGAATAATTGATTACTCTCTGTTCAAAAAGAGTGCTAATGCAGAGAAATCAATGCAGACAGAACAATGACAAGATTTCTGCACTGCCTACAATGACATCTTACCCATCATTTTACTGGCACCCTAATCCATCACATACACAATTCATTCTATAACCATTGTGACACATGTGGAGTGCCACGCCACCCTTGCTGCTTCACTATTAAAATGTAGCCAATTCAAAAGGGAGCATTTGCTGGAGGATGGTGGAAGAAAACTAGGGATGCCACAAATTTCACAGTGAACCTGTTCAGTAAGCGAACATTTATAATTTGATACAATCAGAGCATGAACAGATCAAGGATATATTCAGTTTGCATCAAGGAACTCAAACAGCTGCTGTATAATTTTGCAACTGCCTGTTGGTCAGAAGCCATCTCACTGCTGGTAGTTGGGTTCTGAACCACACGCAGACTCCATCAGAAAAATAGCTACACGGTGAAGATGGAGATCAGAAGCTATTGATTTCTCATCTCCCAATAAAAAAGGTAGATGAGAATGAGATCATTTTTCTTCCATCTTCTCAAAGCTGCGCAGAGACAGAAGCAATGCAAAACCCTTGCTTATCCCAGGCGGCCATAAATGAGGATGTTCTCCAAATGGCCCAAATGTACATATACCTTGACCAAAGGAGCGCCCTCCCTCTAAGGGGCCAGATGTCTATACACAACTGTGCATAGGGCAAATATTATTGGGACCATATTGCCTGATGTATACCCAGGTCGAGGATTTGATCTAACTCCTCATAAAGGTATGTAGATGCTTATAATAAACAGACACTGGCTTAAAGTTAAGGATTTATTAAGAAAAGAATAATAGCAAAGGGAATTAGCAAACTGAATTCAGAGGTTGAAACACGCACCCGCAAACTCTAAAAAAGTGTCCTACAAATCTTATCCTAAACAAAGAGTATTAATTTAAAGAGAATCTAAAGAGAAATGTGGGGAGGAGGGAGACAGTATACTAGTGACTGAAGTCTGGTAGAGTTCATCAAAGAAAGGAGAAAGTGGTATGGGAGAGGGCGAGGTGGAGTTGCTGAGCACAGACACGTAGACCTAGAATGTATCACTTGCCAAGCTAAACTCTGCCTCCAGAGGGCATACAGGGAAGCGACCTAGTCGTTACCTTTTAATGAGAAA